GTAATAGCTGACCCTGACATCTTAACTTTTAATCTTGATGACCACAAGCCTATGTTCTTAGTACTTGCTTCTGACGGCTTATGGGATACCTTTTCAAATGAGGAAGCTGTAAAATTCATTAAAGAAAGGCTCGATGAGCCTGATTATGGAGCTAAAAGTCTAACACTACAAGCATACTACAGAGGTTCCGTTGATAACATCACAGTTTTAGTCATCAATTTCCTAACTAACAAAGTATTTGCAGCTGTTTCTCAATAAAGTGGGGTATGTATGTAGAGTGTTAAATCCTAAAATCTTACATCTTATGAAAGATTTACATAAAATTATTCCCTAAAGTTGTAAGAATTTTTTACTAACTGATAAACGAAAAACAATGTCCGAAAATTGTATCAATTGAGAATTTTCCAAGCATTTTCCTATGATAGTACCTATGATTAACAAAGTAATGTAACTAACTGTTGTTGTCTTTGCATAATACATTTTTAGTGGTATAAATTAAATAATAGACAAGCTATTTTGAAAGGAGAAATAATGATAAGTTTCTTTGCATAACATTTTTTGTTGATGATGTTTATAAAACATTGTTCGAAACAACAAACAAATATTTGGGATGTTGTATGGTGAAGTGTCTGTATAATAAATAATACTAAATTGCATTTTAAATTACTTACTTTATACATATTTACATAATAATCTGATTGTTTTAGTGTAGTAAATGTTGTCAAGTTCTATATTATGTATTCCACTATTTCATCTCCATGTACCTAGATGTACATGAAATATTTTCCAAGTAAAATTGATTATATCATTCGGTATTGATGTTATTGTTAAGATTATAAAAATTTTGTATATAGTTACGTCCAGTAGATGATATATTACTTAGACGAGAGTCATTTATATTTTTGAATGTATAAGGTCATATTTTTGAAAATCTAAAGTTTTGAATTTATGGATGGTTGTGATGTGGATACAGTTTTAAAACTGAATGCTCTAAGTGTAAAGTTTCGTTATTTACCTGACATAATATTGTCCTGTTGACACATCTTTTTGATTATATATGTAGTGATATTAATTCCTATGAAATACAGACATCATTATCATTCATACGCATAATATGCTGTGGAGAGTTGTTTTAATACTTTATTGTTTTATGTGATAAAATGTTACCAGAGAATGATGTTAATGACTCTGTAATTACTTTTTATTGTTATTGTGACATGCACATGGGTACAATGTTTTTATTTATCTTCAAAAGTTTGAATACTAGACGAACCTCTTCATTCTGTATTTATTTCTTGTTGCATTTGATGTGGCTTGAATGCAAGGTCTTTAAATATAATGTTAATTGTTGGTACATATTTTCCTGTGGTGCTAGTCATGTAATCTTAGTTTTATATTTTTGTTTCTCTCCATAACCATGTTACATACTCACATTAGTACTATTCATTAGTAAACTGTAGTAAAGATAATTTTTTAGTCTTTATTAACATATTCACCAGATTTGTGTATTCAAAATATTTTTGTAATTCTATCTATACAGAAAACGATAAGGTTCGATTTTTAAGTACAAAGAAACTGTTTACAAGACGTACCTATCGGCCTATGGCGTATTACTATCTTTTAAACTACACGTTTTGGGGCCAAAAGATTCTACTGTCTATTCGACCTAGGTGAAGCCTATGTTATTGATCAGGTAATGAAAAACATTGTATTTTAATAGGTGAGGTGCCAAAATTATTTGGAATTTAAAATAGTTTGTTATGATCTGGTTTTCTCGACGACATATAACGTGGTTGTTTACTAAAATTATCAAATGAAAGGATTAAGCCCTTATTGTGTTACCCAATATTTTGTAGTGATTTTAACATATTTATAGGTAGTATTTTTGTACATAATCAATGTTATATGTGTAAATCTACCAAACCTTAAAGGTTTATTAATGTATGGTGTCCAATTATCTTACTGCTTGCCTCCGATGTACCTACCAAAGTATAACAATATTGTACGTAATACTTATTAAAATAAATGGTATCGTAAACAATCTTGTTATTATTTTATTCCACATTTTTTTTAAATTTAGTTTTCAAGTTCCGTTAACACTACATGCTCTCAGCATATATCAACAGAGCGTCTAAGAAAAAGCCGTGAAGTCAGTATTAATTTTGAATCAACGTCATCAATTGAAGCCGTGCCAACCACAGACTGTTCATGTAGCGGGTTCAAATCATTAAATGTAAACATGTAAACTAACGGTGCGTACATACTGACGTATATACAGCAGTGCGTATAGTCATCATCGCGTCTCACCCTCAAAATTCCATTGTTGAACAATGACCCCAATTATTTAATTAAAAGTAGGTGTTTTAATGTCTCTGGTCTGGTGGCTCGGAGGTCTAAGTACGGGCGTTAGACGTTCTCATGCATGAGCGTGCAGGTTGGAAACCTACCAATAGCAAGTACCAATGTGACTTTTTCCGAGTTTGATGTGTACTTTCTAAGATTATTTACATATCATTGACAAACGACGAAGGAAAATATCGTGAGGAAACCTGGACTTTATAATTTGTAATTATAAGTTTGAAATCACCAAGCCGCATTGAGCAAGCGTGTTGATTAATGTTCAAACCTCAGTGTGAGAAGAGGCCTTTGGTCAGCAGTGGTCACTTATAGGCTGTTGATGTGTTTTTATGATATCTACCTGCCCAACACGCAGCGTGCGGAGGTATATTACAGGTAATTTTGTACCAGCAAATAAATGATTCTCACTTAAAATCAACTTGGCCACTATTTAATTGGTTTCCACCAATTAAATAGTGTTACGTTAGATTTTCATGAAGTTATACCTTATCAATCGTACATTCGACATACGATAATTGCATTTACCAAAATGATTGGATTATATTGAATGTTAAAGCCAATATTCGTTACAGTGCAGTCATTTTAAATAACATCTATGATGAAATATTCTTTACTTTTTACACAATTACAGGCAGTGTATAGTTAGGGAAGATTTCTAGTTGGTATTTGAACGTTTTATGTAGCTACAAAAGAAAAAAGTAGTACACGTAGGTACTGAGGAGAGAGCAGAACCCCCAGTTCCAGGTACTTGTAGACCAGGCAGGCAGTTTGCATTAATAATACGCATCCGATATGTATGTATATGAACCACGAAAAAACACAAAGATATGAACGTGCTTCCCATCATTATAAATGTTAGGTTTATCAAGACTCCAAGGTTAAAAGGTCACAATTTATCTTTTACCAAACCATTGTCCCGAGTAATCATAATTAGAGGCCGTAAGAAAAAGTAAAGTCGTAGTTTGTCTAGGACCGACCTGCGACCTTCAACCGGTCATCTTATAGCAGCTACTTAGACAATTTTTTTATGTAAAGGAGGAAAAAACGAGCGGACGGATCACCTGATGGTAAGCGATCAGCGCCGCCCATTGCCACCCGCAACACTAGAGGATGCAGAGGTGGGTTACTGGCCTTTTAAAAAGGAATACGTTCTTTTCTTGAAGGTCGTATAGGTTCGGAAATACCGCTGATGACAGATCATACCACAGTTTAGCTGTGCGAAGTAGAACCTTACGGGATAAGCGCAGTTGTGGCCTGTCAACCATCCATATGATGAGGATAAAAATGCTCTCATGTGGGACGATGGCGAAAAGACGCGCCAGGTATCAGACTAAACAATTCCTCAAAGCACTCCCCGTGGTATAAGCGATAGAAAATACATAGGTAGATACAAACTCTCGAAAGTGTAATCTAGTCTCGAAAGAGATTATGTTGCACTAGCTACTCCACGCGGTTTCACACGCTTTGCTCAGCTCCTATTGGTCGTAGCGTGATGTTTTATAGCCTATAGCCTTCCTCGGTAAATGGGCTATCTAACACAGAAAGAAATTTTCAAATTGGACCAGTAGTTTCGGAGATTAGCGCGTTCAAACAAATAAACAAAAAAACAAACTCTTCAGCTTTTAATATTTGTATAGATTGTACATAAAAACGTTTGTTATTAAATGTGTATTGTGTACTATAAATAAAAAAAAAACTACAAACATTTTAAACACGTTTATTTATATAAAATATTTGGGTAGGCTGCAGCCATTCAGCCAACTTCGTAACAAAACTTTATCCTAAACACATAACACAAATTATTTTAACACATATTCCTTCGTGTTACAAAATTCTTAAAACACAATATTTAAATACATTATCATCATGATATTATTGTATTATACTAAGACCTAGAGCTTAATGCTAATGGCATATAATTGGCTCTGTGTTAATAACTAAAACTAATCTATTCAGAATATAGGTATTATGCAATTAATGTAATTATTTGGACCTTATATGCGTGAAGTTTAAACTCAATATATGTATGTAATGATTATAAAATACATAATGATTGCTTTGTTTTAGGCCCATAACACACGGCGTATTTTAATACGCGCACTCAACGCGCGTCTAATGCGCGTATACGCGCTTAATACGAGATTCAATCGCAACCTTGTAATGCACACGGAGCGATCGTGAAACGCGCGTCTACGGCGCCGAAAACGCGCGCTTCCTGCGCGTATAAAAATGCGCCGTGTGTTATGGACCTTAGTGATACAGCTTTAATATTTCGAGTCTATCTAAATTATGACTAGATGAACCTGACCCCTACAAGTTGCCTATAAGATGCACTGATTATCACAAATGTTCACAGGAATGTCAATTGAATCAGCTTTACTTTCGTAGCGTTTATTTACATAAATTGCACAATAAATTTTAAAGGCACTGCAAAGAATAATGTATCGGCTTACACTATCCAGTCATAGGCACTATTACTAATGCATGAACGATTCCAAAATGTAGGTAACTTAAACAAGTACGTTAGTTATAACAAGTACATAAGTACGAGTATCTTCGCATATAATATTACATTAAAGTATAATTATCTACATTAAGACATTTGTGTGATAAATTGCATTTTAATCAGTTGTACGAAACTTTCACAGTATCTCGAATTCATCATCTGAGTCGTCAAACTGCCTGTCGACATCTTCGAATTCTGAAAAAAAAAAGAATAGTTATAGTTTATCACGATTCACGTCTATGAGTGTACATAAAACCAAGAATAAGTAATAAGTACAAAAAACTAGTGATGCCGTAGGTCTCATCAGTCGGAGATTCGCATCTAACAGTTTTCATGTGGGGACTAAAATGATAATAAAATAATAATTAACACCAAAAACGGTGTAAAAGAGTCAATGCCATTAAAGACATAAAATCTATTGAATATCAACTAACTAACTCGAAATAAATTATCTTTTAATAGCCTGAGTGATAGGGTCAACGATCATTACGCTCACTAGCGCCATCTAGTGAGTACAAAAATGAAAAGTTACTGTAAAAATTACCTGTAAATAATGTAGTATTTTGTAGATCTATATCAGAAGTCATCGGGCCCCAGTGGGCCGGTCTTTTCTCGCATGTTTCGAATAAAGGTTGGCTTTCACACATAAGTTTAGTCTCTATGGTAGCACATAATTCTTCAAAATCTCTTTTTGTTCGGCACAGGAAGCACTGAAAATGTAAAAATTATTTATTTTAAGTTTCAACATATAATAATACATCAGTAGTACAAAAACGTAATTAAAATATTATAGAAGTCTTTGAATACAGTTATTTGCCTGATACAGTACTATGCCATTCCAAGATAAGTTTTATTTATCGTTTATGTATAACTCACCACAGCAACGGACGGGTCCATCGCCAACATGGGTATTCGGGAAGCATATTTACAATGATATGACCAGTCCATTTCTTTTTGTTCGTCAGTCGTTTTAGTCTGTAACAGAAACACAATTGTCTAAAAACATCACATGATTATGAATAAATACATTTATGCGAGAAAAAATGAGAATCGAGTGTGGAACGTTTCATTAATATGGTCTGTAGCTCAAACTTAAACTCTTTGTTGCATTCATTTGTACATAGGTGTACATATAAATGTAATAAAGACGTCTTGGTGGCCTGGAAGTTTAAGACGCCCGCTTCTCATACATGAGGGTGCGGGTTCAAAACCTACCAACGGCAAGTACTAATGTCTGACGTTTTCCAAGTTATATGTACTTTCTAAGATTGTTTAGACACTATTGACAAACGGTGAAGAACAACATTGTGAGGAAACTCGGACTTATAATTTCTTATAATAAGTTTGAAATCGCCAACCCGCATTGAGTAAGCGTGGTGATTAATGTTCAAACCTTCTCCGTGAGAGAAGACATTTTGATCAGCAGTGGGTATTTATAGACTGTTGAGGTGTGTACATAGGTGTTACCTAAGTATACGTTTCAGTATGAGGCTATCTGCCATCTGTTGAAAGGTAGTACAAAACAAAGGTACTTTACCTCAACTAAACCAGATCTCTGTGTGGTGTGGGGATCTAAGTAAATAACTTCGTCTCCTACGCAGCCCACCAGGTACAGAGCTTGGTTGGGCTTGCCACCGATCACGCCGATCGATTGAGGACATTGAAAACATATCTGAAAGAAAAAGTTCTTGTAATAGTCGTCATAATTTTAGTGATAGATAGAAATGTGCTTACAATATTATGTATATGTTAAGATAGTTATGTTAATAAGAAGTGACTGCCTTGTTAGCCGAGTGGTTGCAAGTGCGACTGCCGGGCAAGGGGTCCGGGTTCGATTCCCGGGTAGAGCGAACTATTACTGTAGCACGGAGCCTGGAACTGTGCCCAGTCTTTGGCAATAAGCTAATGTTATAAGTCCCATGTAATATCCCCATAAATAGTGATGAAAAGTGGGTGTTACATTTAACAGTGGCATTAAGTGCCGTAATGTGCATCTCTGCCTACCCCCTTCGGGGATAAAAGGCGTGATTAATATCACGCCTTTTATCCATCACATAACGTAACCGTTATGTGATTATGTTAGTCATACTGTGTCTGTCAAATGCTTTTAAAGTTTATTTTCGCGAGTATATCGAGTTAGTTCTAAGGCGAGCTTCACAGAAGCCAATATAAATAAAATAAAAATAGATTTTTTTTTTGTCTCTTTAAAAAAACGTTGCCCCACACTAGGATTATCTCCTGCGTCGTGGGTGCGTTTACAAACATACAAGTTCACATACACAATGACACCCAGATCCGAAACAACAATTTGTGGATCACACAAAGTGTTGTTCCGTGCGGGAATCGAACCCGCGACACGTTGCTCGGCAGCCGGTTGCCCAGCCACCGCACCAACCGTGCAGTCAAATATACATTCATAACAGAAGAAATTCGTAGTCAGTAGTACTGAAATATTAAGGTTACCTTCAATCCATCAATATAAATAGGGTTTATTTCGCTAAGTCCGAGTCTAAGCGGCACTATCAGCAGTAGAGGCATCCAGTCAGTGACCAGACTGTCCGGGGCGGCTGAACAATCTCCTCTGTCGTTGTTCACGACACATTGCTGTACTGGAACAGAAGATAAATAATTGTAAACCTTATGAAAAGGATTGTAATTACAATTTCAAATGACCTACTTGCTCTATCACTGGTCATAACTTTTTGTACTATGAGTTAAACTTTTTAAAGAAGCTCATCACACTAATATTATAATTGAGGGTATGAAAATTAAAAATCTAATTAGTCCGTAAGTTAGGTAATGAAAAAATGTTAGACATGTATTTTTTACTTTGTCGTATAATAAAACAACACTTAGATAAAACGAATCAAAGTTTAGGAGTGGGGGCTAAAACGTCATTTCTACGTATAAAATGTACATAGAATTGATGTCACGCGACATTTCAAATCAATATAACGTCGAAAGTATTAGTTTCTGTAAGAAAATAAAAAAAACGTGTCTAATGATTTAAAATAATCTACCAGACGGACATTAAAATAAAAATTAAGTATCTTTCCTATTGTGAAAATTTCTGTTTTTGGATGTTTGTCTGTCAATCACGCTGAAACTCCTGAAAGGATTTTGATAAAATTTAGTATACAGACTAGGTATGGGCTGACTTAGGTGATAGGATACTTTTATCCTAATTAAATGGTCCCATAGGATAAAACAGGAATCACATTCTACGCGGACGAAGTCGGAATTCTCAATGAAACTGTAGTCTGTATCTTTATGTCGATTACAACTCACGATTAGACTTTTTAATCCACTATTGGTTCCATAATTTAGATTTTTTTGCATGTGCAAATAAAAAAACTGGACTTGGCATTAAACAAAGGTATGTTTTTTAAATGGTGCCTCCACACTAGGATTTTCTCCTGTGTCATGGGTTCGTTTTACAACATACAAATTCACATGACACCCAGACCAGAAACAACAATTTGTGGATCACACACGCTGCATGGCAGCCTGTAGCATGGTAGTTGCCAAGCCACGGCACCAACCGTGCAGTCTATATTGTAGTTATTCAGTTTATATTGTACTAGCTACTTTCGCGCGGTTTCACATGCTCTGCTCAGCTCCTATTGGTCGTAGCGTGATGTTTCATAACCTATAGCCATCCTCAATAAATGCACTATCCAACACAAAAATAATTATTCAAATCAGACTTGTAGTTACGGAGATTAGCGCGTTCAAACAAACAAACAAAAAAAAAACAAACTCTGCAGCTTTATATAATAGTATAATGTCGGAATACTAAAACGTTACTCAATTTTAAGTCGTGCTTAAGTATAGTTTTGTCTCTACAAATTCTTTGTCAAATGACAGAGATGGCACGATATTTAAGCACGACTTAAAATTGAGTAACGTTTCAGTATTCCGCCATAAGAGTATAAGATATAAGATTTATACTTACATATATCCTCCTTAACAACAGTATTGTCTAAAGCCACGTGAATCACAAGGGAGCTCCACTTGTCATACACTGTCAGCTTCCTGTAATAAAAGAACAACTGTCACTTGATGTAACTGGGGCATCATGATCGAAATTCTTTGCTTCACTTTAAGTTTGTCCCATTGTTATTGCTGAGTACATTTATGGTAATCTGTGGCAAAATCATAAAGAGTGTATTTGTTAAATCTATTATTTAATTCATTCATATGTTATATTTAATACACTGCTGTTTGTTGCCCTTGATAAATAAAATATGTGATGGTGTAAAAAGGGGTTATTTTCTAGCTCCTAAACGAGGCAGAATTAGAAATATGAAAATTTTAATTTTACATTATTAAAACCTAAAAGGATTCGAATGTTTGATAAATGGTTCTTCTTCTACATGATAGATATATTTTGTGACAAGTACTTAAAAAAATCTGAAAATTTAACTACCTTAAAATTAATTAATATTTGTACACCAGTCATGGTTAAGCATGTTGATACAAACAATACTGTACATCTATAGTAAACATTCATTTTTGCATGTATTATTGTAACCTACACATGTTTTGGCAAATAAAACGATCTTTATCTTTACCTACTTAAGTGGGTTATTTGAGCTTAAAAGTGGACCTCAGATACAACAGTAAAATAAATAATTTAAGAATAGTCTAACTTGTAAACCTGTAAGCATGTTCTAAATTTAAAACGCCATGAAGGTCATCGGGAGACCGACGTTTCGGAGGATTCTTCTTCAACAGTTTAATTTTGCCAGTCATAAGGTTAACCATGAGTACATTATTACATGATTAACAAAAGAAAAAATATTCATAAAATTCTTTGTTCTTTTATGCCAGCACAAGAATCCAGATGCAGCATCGAGGCATTCTTTAACACTGGCTGGATTCCAAGCAAAACATATAAGGAGTGAGTGAGACATTGCTGAGTCACGAGGAAGCAAACATTACAACAGATTGTAAGCTCAGACGCAGCTGCAATCTGTCAATATTTTTCATTGGATATTCAGCTTAATATGAAAACAATAAAGTTGAAAATTGGATAAAGGAAATTGACCGGTAGAGAATGGGTTTACATGTGTTTGTATTTGTACAATTGTTTTCTCACAAACATGGACATCTGAAAATATCATTCAGTTAGTAAACAGATTGTTTGTGAAAGATGTTCTTTGTGAACAAATTATTATGATAATTCAGTTGTCATATAGAAGATAACTTTTATCTTGTATTTGTATATCACTCGTATGATGTAGATTTACTTTTCACCACTTTTTTCTACTGTTTTTTTTATGGGATAAGGTGGTAAACGAGCAAACCGGTCATCTGATGGTAAGCAATCGGTGTCGCCCATGGAAACCCGGAACACCAGCATTACAATGATTAATTTGAAGATTATTGGAATGTGGTAATTGGGCCTCCGGCCATCACTCATATGCCCAAACATAAAGCAAGCATTGTTTCACGTCAGTTTTATGTGAGGCCGTGATAACACTCTGGTGCACTCCATGCTCCGGTCCATTCGTGTCGAAGCACGCAGGTCTCCCACGCTTGATATTTTAAGAATAACAAAAACAACAATTTATTTTGACAAACGAGTAGTTGCTATTTATGTAAAACATCCTATCCTTTGTGAGTGACAAATAAGTTCAAAGGTTCAAACCTTGTTAAAACCTCGCTAAATAAACAATTAATAAAATACCTTGAATACTATTAAACTTAGATTAAAAAAACAAAACTTACTTCAATACTTGTGCAACAGTATTGGGCCCAAACCATTGGCCCACTTGCTTTCCTTCCGAAGCTCCCATCAGCGCCACCTGGTGGATGGAGTAGGGCGCTTGCTTTCTTTCTTCAAACCTTTGAATTATCTTCAGGTAAGTTGGATCTCTGAAAATGAGATTATATGATTACATTAGTATATTTTTGTATGCAACTTCTATAAGATTAAATATACAGAATGTCCCTGAAGTCGAAGATCAAATGGAACCAGGTGATCGGCAAGGTTCCTACAGTTATCAGAAAAATATTTAAAAAAATCCAAGTCAAAAACATATTTTTAGATAGGTATACAAAAAATAATTTTCAACGAAACTCCTTTTCGAACAATTTATTTGGACTTACTGAAATTTATTCTAGCATACCCTAAGCGCACCTAAAAACCTCGTATCCACTAAGGTTTTCGTTGAAAAATATTTTTTTTGTGCCGAATTTAAGAAGTAATGTAGGAAACTGGTATACCATTTTAAAAATAATTCTTATTAAATACGCCAACTTTGGTGAAATTTGCCATTACTACCGTAGTACAATTTTTTTCCGTACAGTCACTTAAACTACGGTCAAAATTTTATTGAGAATACTTGGTTATCAAAAAATTATATTCTTTTATAAACTAAAGCAAATGGTTCAGAATTTATGATTCCATAATATTGAAGCACTATTCAGGATAACGTTAGGAAAAATACAGACGAAAAAATAAAGAATTGTAGCAACAAGAGTCAAAAGACTGGCGCAGGGTGTACCTTTTCGTGGATAACACATAAGTCATTGTAATTTAAAAACTGTCCGACTTGGAATTTTTACAATATTTTTCTGATAACTGTATGATCCTTTCCGATCACCTGGTGCTATTTTATCGTCGACTCTAGGGACACTCTGTATATGTTTGTTGAATTGAAAGAGCGCCCTTCACTATTTCAGCCTAAACATGGTTTTCACTCCATCAGTCTGATTATTAAGGAGGGAAGTGTGGGGATTTTACCTAGAAAGTTTTTGGGGAGTTTTGAAAATCGGCATTTTTATAGATTTTGATGGACTCTTTTGCGAACACGCGCCGCTCGCGTCGCCATCTTGGAAAAATGGCGCCAAAAACAAACTGTTTTTACAATATCTCATTTATCTTTTTTCAATTTAAATTACTCACAATTTTCGACAATTTATGTCTAGATAGCTTTTTGTAATATAGTATGTGTAGTACTTTTGACGCCAGAGCACCAAAAGTACATTTTTATGAGCATTATGGGAAAAAATTATTTACACACCACGTGAAAGTAGTGCAAACGGCGCGTTTTTTTATAGTTGTGTGTATACGTCTAATGCTCATGTGATTGTGGTACACACTTTAGGAACTTGCCATAATCTCTGGCCTTTAGCTGTTTCTGATAAAATGCACATAGGAGATTTCGTCTTGGGCTCCCATCGATTGTCATAGTGACTATGACATAGTCGTTATTTTTAAACGAAATTGCTTTTAATGTATTTGCAGAAGTGTATCACAAATAGGCCGGGCAAAATTTTGATCGGCGACTTCTCCATATATACCCAAAAAATAATTGAAAATTGTAAGTAGTTTAATTTTGTAGTTAACGGTTTTGTCGTAAAATGCACAGGAAATGAGATATTGTAAAAAAAAACTGTTTGTGGCCGCCATTTTTTCAATATGGCGGCGCGAGTGGCGCACGCACATATACACAGGTGCCAAATGGAAATCGAAAAGAGCACATCAAAATCTACAAAATTGACGATTTTTAAAACTCACAGAAAACATTCCACCAAATTATTGAACTACATAAGATGTCTACTCAAATCGCCATTGGTTCCGAGATAGATATGAGCGGCCATTTGATTTATACTACAGCTGATCTGGTTTTCTGCTTGATCACTTTCATTAAGTATTTTTGATATTTCAAAAAAACATGTATTGTATTAGAATACACTATGATTTGCAATATACAAAGATAATTTTAGTTACGCATAAGATAATCACGATGATGAATTCCCAAGGTTATCAAATGCAAATAAGTATCTTGTGGCATATTAAAATCAATAGTGAACTCATTTTGATACTGTACAGACTATGTAAAAGAATTACCAAACAGATTAGCTCTGCTCTACTTCTATTACTGATAAGGGCACAATGGTTGGCTCATTCATGTTATAACTTAATTAATATACATTACGTTCAATGTACTGAGTAGTGTGTAATAGGCAATTGTGCATAAATAAATGTGCAATAAATCTGATTACAAACTATTAAGGAAACATGACTCGTGTAGTAACAGGAAAAGAACAATAATTTTCTACTATGAGCAACAGAGTTCTTAAGTCCACCCTGGGGTGGACAAAAAAGTACTGGTAGTCCAAAAGGCAATTAAAAAAAAAATGTACCTAGTCTCTGGGGTCCAGACCCAGTCAGCTGATAGGTGTACTCTTACAAGCGCCACTCCAAGTACCATTTGGCCACAACGAAGCATGCATCCCCATCCCTTGTCAGACGTAAGACCCTCGTCGCCGATGGGAATAAATCCCTTTCTATAAGTACACCAAATTATAGAAGTGATGTCTCGTCTGATGCGGTCCAAATCTGCAAAATAAATACGTCGACATCATTGTTTTGCACAGATGATTATGACAGTCTACAAAAATAATAAACAATAGTCATGAATCTCCTTGCTTATTCAATTATTATCTTCTTTAAATAAATCACGAATTGTAAGCAGTTCTTCTGAAATCTTACGTACCCTGAATAGCGCTGTATTTTTTCCCCAAGATCCATACACTCTCCTTTGTCTGAGGAATATCATCAGGCTCGACGTTATTCCCGTCTGACGATAAATAACAAATATCAAATACGGTATCCATTATCGATCATAATTTGATGACAATAACTAAGAAATATAATATTAAAGTGTGTTAGTAGAAAAACCAACACGAGAAAAATAAACACGAATAGGTACGCCTTCCGACAAATAAACACAAGTAAACTATGAATGGTATCCGTACTCGGTACGGTAATTGAATGAAAACAGAAACTCATTCGGTCATTTTTTCAAACGTCAAGTCAAAAATAGAAAAATGAAAGATTCTCTGTCTATGGATTTCAAAGAGTAAAGAAGATATAAAAATAGAGGACAATTATTAATATTTTTTTAGAATAATTGATTTTTATGTTGATAAAATAGTATTTTTAGAGTTTTTAAAATTAAGCAAATTAATTTGATAGGCATGTATAATATGCGCACAAAAATTAAAAAATACAGACCATCGTAGATGTCATTGCCAATGACAAATGTCAATGTCATCTACGGGCAAATTGTTTTGAATAGACAGACTGCGAACGGGTGAAGGCGATTTGAACAAAATAAAATAGAAAAACAATTTATTTACGTATCATAATAAATTGAGGATTTGTAAGCTTTTAAAATGGAATCATCTCCGCTGGATTTTGTTGCGCAATCTTGCATGGATTTAACAGAGGCAATAAAGGAGGTTCAAAGTGAGACTGAGCGCGATACTCTAATTACAAACCATATCAAGAAAGTTTGGTCTACAGTTACTCCGATTGAAGACTTTAAGAAAAGTAAGTTTTATAAAAAATATAAAACAAGTACTCTATTAGTCATTAACCAAGTTTCCTATACTAAGAAGTTTCATTTATCTAACTGTACTTTCTTGCTTATCAGGGCACAACAACATTGAACTGCATGAATAAAATATACATTAATTAAACTAGTAGCAGTATGTAAGGAAAACATACATCAAAAAGTATGATAACTTATTTACCTCACAGATAATATATTTTTCCAGATTTAGAATGGGTAAATGTGTCTGAAGCAATATCGTTATCGCAACATTGCTCTGACAAAGTTGTGATATTGGATTTCTGGACTTATTGCTGCATCAACTGCTACCATGTGCTGCCTGACCTGGCCCATATTGAGAAACTGCATTCTGTTGAGAGTGGTCTAGTTGTGGTATGTTTTTTAAATGTTGTAATATATTATTTATATGATTATTTATTATTTTGCTTATACATGTGAAAAATTGTGAGTTTGTGTTTATATTTATTACTCAATTGCTGAAGGAATCGAGATGAAATTTGGAACTGGGGTATATTATAGTCTGGTATAACACATATCCTACTTTTTATTCTATGGAAGCAAGTGACAGAAGCTGGTACATTATATAGTTATTTTTCATGATTTGGGTTGACTTACTGTGACAGTACTTTGTATGAATGCAAAGAATAACTAGGAACAAATATTAATTTATATAAGTAACATTATGTAACAACTCTGGTGTGTAAGAACTTTAACTGCTGCATTTAAAGTTTTAAGTGTTGGAGAGCCATGCTTCGGCATGAATGGGCTGGCTCTACCGGAATGATACCACAGCCTCACAGAAAACCGATGTGAAGCAACGCTTGCGATGTGTTTCGTCATGTTAGTGAGGTTACCGAAGGCCCAATTACCCTCCACTTATACAATCTCCCTAATCCCTGAATTCCCAACGATCCTCAAACTCCTAATCCCCAAAAGGCCGGTAACACACTTGCAACACCTCTGGTGTTCCAGGTGCCCATGGTCGACGCCGATTGCTTACGATCAGGTGATCCGTCTGCTCGTTTACTGGCTTATGCCATAAAAAATTATTATATTTGGATTTAATTCCATAAGAAATTACTCAACTCCAACAATTTAACCGCCACATGAAACTTTATGACAAATCCTCAGTTAGGGTAGACCACAGTCAATAAAAGCTGGAGTAGTTAATATAGATAATATTTTGTGTATATTATCTATCACACACACTTTGGACTTCCATAATATGCAACAAACTAATGATTAATCTATTTCATATTCCAGATAGGAGTGCACTGTGCCAAGTTTTCAAATGAGAAGGAATCAGCCAATGTATTAGCAGCTGTACAAAGATACAATATACATCATCCTGTAGTGAATGATGCCGACAGCTGCATGTGGGATGCACTCGGAATAAAGTGCTGGCCCACACTACTTATATTAGGTATGATTTTATGTGTCTGTATTAGGATAGCCTGTTTGTTTGAGCTAAAGTATTAGTTCTATGATTGTGTAGTACAATTAATAAGTTGGTAATGCAACATAATTATTGGTAAAACAAGGTTTTTCTATGTGATGTGTTTTCTGCATTTTCCATCACAAATTATGCTGACAAGTCAATTATAAAAATTATTGCAAATATTTAATAATATGTCGACATACAGGAGTATGTTATGGTTGCTATCTTGTTAGTATTTAAAATAGCTCATACCAACAGAGATATCTCAGCAATTTATGGTCATTATGATTAAGAAATAACATTAAATACTATGTTAAATGCTAAGCCAATCACAGATTATTAAAATTCTATCTAAAGTAACTCTTCAATTTAAGTACAAATTCCTTGAATTTTCAAAAGAATGAAGACATAACTTAGTCATGATTACAAGTAATTATGTGTAGATTGTTTATTTTATGAGTACATACTGTATATTTATGTTATGCAATTACCGGATGCAACATTTTTGCATTCAAACTTTTTACAATCCTTCGTTTCGTAGTTATAGAAAAATAGACAATATTTTAAATTGAATGTATCTGTCTTCAGGTCCTGGTAATAAGCCCCTCTTTATACTAACGGGTGAAGGTCATAAAGATGAATTGGTGTGGTATGTGGGCATGGCGCTGGCGCACTTTGGAAGTCGCATATCTACGACTCCATTACCCATGGCTCAGACAAACCATTTGAAAAGTAAAGAGGAATCTATCTTGTATTTTCCTAGCAAGGTATGTACTGGATTAAATTATATTAGTAATACTGAATAATACTGAATATTGAATTAATCATCTTTATTTCTTAATTAAAACATACACTCACATGACAGGCCCCGGCCTCACTAGCAGTTTTTTACTGCCCAATTTTGTGAAGCATGAAAGTTAAAAAAGTGGTTGGTTCATGCTACATTACAATTGTTTGGCACTGTATTGGTGTCCCAAGAAATATCAAGCTGTTGTTTAGTAATATTTTTCATATGTAGTCATTCACATGTAGAAATAATTTACAAACAATTATATATATTATAATTTATTTAAAATTCTCTGAAACTGCATTTATAAATACTACTAATAAAAAAAAATATTTAAAAATATTAAAATAGGAGTCGATCAGTAGCGAAAGCATTGTCCAAGCTACCAGTGGTTAGGGCTCCAGAGACAGAAACCTCACAATGCGCACCGTTTCAAAGAGAGGTGCCTTCTGTATCAAGCCCTTGACCCATCCGCCCTTAGTTTATTATTGTTAAGCTTTTGCTGGCATTTGTTACTCGACAATACATTTTCTTATAATAAAATATTCCGATACTTTACTTAGCTTGCCTTGAACCCGTTCTATCGCGGTCGTGGCGACGAGCCTTTCCTGGCGATCTCAGACACTGGCCACCACCGCGTGCTGCTCACTGACTGCGCGGGGGCCGTCGTAAGGATTGTTGGGGGGAAGGAAGCTGTCTTCAAGGATGGCAGTAAGTGCTCCACAAGGTTTTCAAATACATTATTGTTTATTGCCTACTAATGTTGTCATATGAAGATATAAGAATACTAGCATTGTAAACAAAGATATGATTAGTTGGTAGTCTGAAAATATGTTTTTAAGCGACTGATACAACATTCTTGGTTATAACCAATCGCTTTAGGCAAAATATTGTCATTCTACCTAATTTATTCAAGACTTAGTGCTGACCACGTTTCGTTTCATGTGTAAAAAAAGCAATTCAAGAAATAACTGGAACTTATTTTTTTATCAAACGCTAACATTGTCTACCCTACCCAGAACTGACCGAGGCCCAGTTCAACGCCCCACAAGGTCTGTGCTGGCTGTCCAGCAACGTGTTGGCAGTGTGCGACACCAACAACCACGCCGTGCGCGCCATACACCTCGACGAGGGCACGGTGGAGGTACTCGCGGGGACTGGAGAACAATCTGCTTTTGGGGATTTAGGTAAGGAGCTTGTTGGAGTTTTACATTTTATTATAGACTTACAAAAGTTAAATAGAGAGTAGTATTTGTATTGGGTAAAAGTTTTTAGATACTAATTTATCGTATAATATAGAGAAAAGATAATAAACAAAATCAGAACACGTATTCTAAAATTATAAACTGTATGACTGACATTGAGTTTTTATCAAAATGCAAAAGGCATTTGCTTATGATCAGCACTTACCATTTGTAAAAACAGCTAAAATATCTGGACCTAAAATAGCATTTATAATTTTATAGACTATAAATGATTTCAAACAATCATCATAAAACATTATTCTTATCAATTTATTCAACAGGTGGCAAATGCCTCGGCGTGCAAGCCCTCGCGTCTCCGTGGGATGTGCTCCTGTATTCGACTCCCGACATGGACATGTCAGTGCGACCACTCCTGCCACCCCCACCTCCCCCACCTAACAGCCAAACTGGGCCTGACAAGGAGAAGGAAGTGGCTAAAGATGAAACGAAAGGTAAATATGGGTTTAGTTCAATTATTTCTTCGATCTAAGTATAAATACCTATATAAATAAGGATAGATGAAAGTAGAGTAACGAAAGAAGTATACATAGCGGATATGAATGGGGCCGTCGGTATAGGGCGCCCTAGACGAACATGTACTGACCATATTGGCGATATATTAAAGAAGGGCCAAATTAAAAATACCCTTAACAGACGAGCATGCATGAAAAGATTGATGACTGTTGATGAAGCGAAAGAGGTATGTAGAAATCGTAGCAATTGATGTTCTATAGCCTACCCTAATGGAAGACAGGCGTGAAGTTATGTATGTATGTATGTATAAATAGGTGTAGGTTTAGTTTAGGTTACACTGTTTTTTTTTTAAATGCCGATCAACCTAATAATCTTTGAATTAACCATTAAATATCTAAATGAGTTTCATGAGTTTAGAATTATTTTTTTTAAAAAAAAAACGTTGCTCCATACTTGGGTTATCTCCTGTGTCGTGGGTGCATTTAAAAACATACAAGTTCACATACACATGACACCCAGACCCGAAACAACAATTTGTGGATGACACAAAGTGTTGTTCCGTGCGGGAATCGAACCCGCGACACGTTGCACGGCAGCCGGTTGCCCAGCCACCGCACCAACCGTGCAGTCAAAATTGATGTTATTATTTAGTTTCTAGAGTTGTATTGATTATAAAATCGTTGTTCGTATTCTGGGTGTTATAATGTGTTTGTAAACACACGACAGCGACTCCACTGGAAATCCTAGTCAAGAATAAATTATTTATTGTTACAGAAAAAGAAAAGAAAGACGAGAAACGCCGAGTGCTACTGATTGCTTGTGCTGGTTCTCATCAGATTTGGGCTCTGTTCCTCGACACTACGATTTGGTGGAAGTACAAGACATTTACTGAAGGTATGTTGATAGTAGAAACATTTACTGAAGGTTTCTACAGAACAAATCTTAGGAAAATTCGTAACACATCACTTAAACTCATTGCCTCGTAATGTTTTTTGTTTTTATTTTAGTAAGTTTTGTAATTAGTATAATGCGTCAAGCGTGTCTTTGCATTGTTCTTACATATGCGTACAGTATTGGTATATGGATCAGAGACATTGTAGAACATACTTTTTTAAAAAGAGTAACGAATGGAGTTTCTTGGTCGTTCTTCTCCGTTTGAATCTACATTTTGGAATGAGCACTTAGCTTCACTGACGGACTGACTGACAGACTATTATTTATTTTGTATTTGTTGACGTTTCAAAACTACCAAATTATGTTTTAATTGAAATAAATGCTTTGACTTTGTTTTATCATGATGTTTGATAACGTTTCCTGTACTAATATCCTTAGCCTTCACTTTAGTCTTGTTACTATGTATTTGTTTCAACAAACTCGACTGCCTCGTTGGCCGAGTACTGCCGGGCAAGGGGTCTCGGGTTCGATTCCCGGGTCAGGCAAAGTATTACTGGGTTTTTATAAATTCTCAGTAGTAGTACGGAGTCTGGAATTGTGCCCGGTATATAAATAGTGAAAAGTGGGTGTTACATTATACAGTGGCATAATGTACACCTCTGCCTACCTCTTCGGGGATAAAAGGCGTGATGTTATGTTGTGTATGTGTTTCAACAAAATGTGTATTCCAGGTACGTGTGTGTGTGTGGCGGGTACAGGCGCGGAGGCCGCCCGGAACAGCGCGTACCCCAACACGGCCGCATTCGCGCAGCCTTCCGGACTCACGCTTAGAATGGGTAAGTGCATCGATAAATATAGTTTATGGTCGGTACTTAATGTACTGTGATAGATTGATATAACTATTATCAAGTTAACGGTGCGGTTTCTCATTTAATTTTGATTTTGTCTAGTCATTAATGTTTATTTCGCAGCCTATAACGCCCACTGCTGAGTAAAGCCTCTCCTCACATGGAGAAGGTTTTGAGCATTAATCACCACGCTTGCTCAATGCGGGTTGGCGATTACAAACTTATAATTAGAAATTAAGTATAAGCCCAGGTTTCCTCACGATGTTTTCCTTCACCGTTTGCCAGTGGTGTCTAAATAATCCTAGAAAGTACATATAACTCGGAAAAAGTCACATTGGTACTTGCCGTTGGTAGGTTTCGAACCTGTACCCTCATGTATGAGAAGCTAATGTCTATGTTAAAATCTGAAATGTATTATACTACTATATTATTCCCAAACATTTTTCTCCGTAGGATCAAGTCCAGAAATCTTCATAGCAGACTCAGAAAGTTCGTCGATCCGTAGACTGGCGCTGACGACGGGACAGGTTTCCACGCTGTGCGGCGGTGACCGTAACCCTTTGGTATGCATCCGTAACTAATATAACTATTAATTACATATACATTACACAAATACCTCAATACTACATTTTATGGCGTCTATTACAATTGCTAATACACATATTATTATGAATATTTTATAATTTATGCCTGTATTATTATTATATTATAGATAATATTAATTAAAAGTGTTCTGTTTACCACCTGATTATGTTGAGGGACATGTGTACTGCATTCCGTTGTTTAACGAACATAGCTATGTATGAATTAAAATGTTTTGTAATTTCTATACAGAATCTCTTCGCTTTCGGAGATGTAGATGACACTGGTATCGACGCAAAGTTCCAACATCCTCTAGGCGTGGCATACTGCGAATCTTCAAAGACCCTCTACGTAGCAGACACATACAACCATAAAATTAAAAAGGTCGAGGTTGGACCTCAAAAGGTTACCACATTAAACCCAACAATGATAGAGACCACTGACCCAGCGCTATTCAATGAGCCTTCAGGGCTCGCCATCACTGCCGACGGCAAATACTTATACATTGCAGATACCAACAACCACGGTATCAAAATCCTCAACCTAACAAAAAACGTGTGCCAAGACTTCAAAGTGCGATTACAAGAACCTAAGTTCACTGAACCAGACAACTTGATTCTGTACAAAAATGACCTATTTGTCAATAGGAAATGTGGTAATCTGATCATTTATTTCAACGTCAGTTTGGATGCTGACACCAAAAACGTCAAGTTCACTCCAGGAGCGCCACAAAACTGGCTGGTGTGCATTCGAGATGAGAATAACAAGGATGTGACTCAAGAAGATTTTGAATTCATAAGTTCTTCGCACAAAGGTAACAAGCTCCCTGGCCGAGTGGAAATGAAACTTAAACAACGAACAGATAAGTTCCTTTATCGCTTGTACCTCAGTTTTCACACGGCGTTGTGTGACGCAGCCGTATGTTTCTCACATTCTTTTACGATCCGATCAACTATTTTAGTTCGGGATTCTGTCAAAATGGTGGAGTCGTATAAAATTACTTGTAAAGTGAATCCTGTTAATAGACCGGATACTAAAAATAAGGATGAACAGAAGTAGTTAAACATCTTTATTTTGATAGCTTAAGCGTACAACGTATATTAGCAGCATGAAGACAAATTATATTTAAGTTAACCTGATTACTTTAAGTGTAACTGTTACTAATTAATAACAGAGATTGTTATCTATATTTTGATTTGACTACTTTTTTAGTTTTGTTAATTGAGATAAATATTTTTTACTAAATGTTACTCTTTCATTTTGGTGTCTTTGCGATCCACAGACTTGTGCTTACGGCGGCACTGTCAGCAGATAGCCCTAATGAAATCTCCAAGTGTCCATTACTTGTTCCTTTCGAAATCTAAAAGTGGGTATATATTACTTGCTTCAGTATTCAAACCGATATAACGGAAATATATGTACACTAGCGGACCCGACAGACGTTGTCCTGCATATAATATAATAATAGGTATAGCTAAATAACCTAGAAATCGACTGCAGCGCCATCTGCCGGGCTGATTTGTGAATCTAAACCATCCAGGGCACCACACAAACGCGTACAGAAAATTTCATCAAAATCGGTCCAGTCGTTTGAGAGAAGTTCAGTGACATACACACTCACAGAGGAATCCTAACTAATATTATAAATGCGAAAGTAACTCTGTCTGTCTGTCTGTCTGCTACTCTTTCACGCCAAAACTACTGAACGGATTTGAATGAAATTTGGTATACAGATATTCTAGACCCCGAGATAAAACATAGGCTACTTTTTATCGCGAAAAAGGGGTTGTTGTAAGAATAATTATTACGATTATTACGATTTATCTGAAAACCTGAAAACGGATATCTGACAGGTAACATTACTATGGTAACCAACCTGATGATTTGTAATTGTTATGACGTCCTACTTTCATAATATATTTTGGCATCAACATATAAAAATGAAGTTCTGTGGGTTTTCAAGGAATAATATTAGTATTCAGCTGCATCAGGGATCAGGGATTTTAAAGACAAAATACGAATTCAATTGACTGAATACAATTTATTCATAGACTAGCCTCTGTCTGCGGCTTCTCTCGCGTTCTTTTAATGGGGTGAGGGAAGGATTTACAATAAAAAAATGAAATGATGCACGATTCTATGCTGGTCACAAATAACCCGCATACCAATTGTTAGCTTTCCACATTGAAAATTGCAAAATACCCCATACAAACTTTCACCTCTGTTTCACGGAAGTGGAAGGGGGTTAAAAAAAGACAAAAAGTAGCCTATGATACTCTCCATCTTTTCAACTATCTCAAATCAAAAACCTTCCTGACTCCGTTCTGTCGTGAAATACGGACAAACAAACAAACAAGCACATACAAATTTATATTATTAGTATACATTTCTTAAGTCATCTGACATTTGTGTGACAAGTGAGTTTACAAAGTCAATGTGTCATAGATTTTTTTTATCTATGGTATTAATATTAAGGTATGCAAAGAGGTTGACAGCAGTCTAAGGAGATAAAACCACGAATAAAATATTTTCAGTTTACTTGAATTCGTATTTTTTATATGTATATCAAAAAAACTAGCTAAATGCACATAGCTAAAAAATAATATTAGTCCTTTTCATTTTAGACCGTCAAGGCCAAATTCACTATGATAGTTTGCTGTTTGTTTATGGCATAAGCCGGTAAACGAGCAGACGGATCACTGCGCCGCCCATGGACATGTAACACCAGAAGTGCTAGAAGTGCGTTACCGGTCTTTTGGGAATTGGTAATTTGAGGATTGTTAGGGATTGGGGGGGGGTAATTGGGCCTCCGGTAACCTCACTTACACAGCGAAACACTCCTTTAGGTAACCGAGGGCTGGGCTCGCTGTCATTGCAGCGGAAAGTCCCCTCTTTAAAAGTGGCTTTAGAGAGGCCATCAATGCAAGGACCGCCCGGAGAACACGGTGGAGCATACCGTGGCGGTGTACCTTGCATGGGCTGAGCACCGCCGTGTTCTCAGGGATGTAGGAAACGGTGACCTCTCGCGTTCGGCTCTGGTTCAGGCCATGGAGCGAGGGGGATTGGGATGCAGTCGCATCCTTCTGCGAAGCAGTTATGCTTGCCAAGGAGAAAGCGGAGCGTGTGAGGGAATGAACTTCCTCACGCCCCAGCCGTCGCGGGAGACACTCTCACCGGCCACCGTAAGTGCGGGTCTGTAGACGAGAGCAAGGGTAGCTCGCCACCCGACCAGAACCAGTCCCGTGCATACGGCGCGCGCCTTACAGAGCCATGACACCATCATAGATGGAGCCCAGTAGGGCTGATGCTCGATACGGTGCCGCGGGAGGCCTAACGAGTTGACGGGGCTCCGGCTCGACGAGCAGGAGTAGGAACGGAGTGGATTTTAGTCAGTAAGAATCTGTCACTCCCTCTCACCTAACCCAAGGCGGGAGAAGTGATTGGATGATTATCCGACCTCAAAAAAAATCTCCTTTAGGTAATGACAACCTGATGTGTGAAAAACTACCAAAAAAACTCCTTGGTATTGATTACGCTGTGGAAATTATGGACAATAGAGCCAAGGGATGTATTAAGTCTTATAGAGGACATTAATATCAACATTAAAGTACATGTATCATATGTAACTAACCTAATATCAGAATACCTATTTTTTCATTTAAATGTTTGCGATAGTAACGCACGTCGCACCGGTACATATCAGGTCACATTATAGGAGAGAGGAAATCCCAAAATGACGGAAACTATGCGCTAAAAAACCAGGACCAAGGACGTTGAAATAAAGAGGGGCTCCTACCTTTTAAACCATTGAACCTATTTGGTGAAATTCGGCGCAGCGATAGTTTGAGACCCGGGAAAGGACATCTAAAAGTTTTTAACCCGAAAAACCCACGAAACCGGGAACTGTGCTGTTAAAATCAATATATCTATTTGATTGAAATGCGATACAACATTGATTTGCAAACATAGAATAGTGAAACTTCACGAGACGGGCACTATACGGGTAAAACCTCTATGGGATTGTTTATTTTAGAAACCACGAAAATAAATTCATTTCTCAATAAATATAACCTAGGTACTGAATCGATTGTGATGATATTTGTTCCAGTTGTACAGCCATAGAATATACCTTGACAAAGACTAATTTAAAAAACCCAATTTATACAGAAGTCGTTATTTCACGCGGACGAAGTCGCGGGTAACAGCTAGTTATATTATATATAAAGATAGCAATTATATCCCTAACTAGCTTCTGCCCGCGACTTCGTACGCGCAATCCCAATTTCTCCCGTTCCCATAAGATTTTCAGGATTTTTTTTTCTATCATAAGGACTTTCTCCTGACAATAACAAACACAACAAAAAAATCTGCTAAATCGGTCTAGCCATTCTCAAGTTATGGCGTAACAACGGTATTACTATTGGGTTTTTAAAAAAAAATCTCAGTAGTAGTACAGAGTCCGGAATTGTGCCCTGTATATGGCAATAGGCTCACCCCCTATTACATGGGACTCATAACATAAATAGTCAAAAGTGGGTGTTACATTGTACAGTGACAGAGGGATGAAGGTGTGATGTTATGTTGATGTTGTTTCCGTAGAATAACTCGAATAGGCACATAGGCAATATTAAAAAGTCAAGTACGTTCCCCGGGTGTGTTGTAGGAAAGTGACAATGACATTTCGTATCCATCACAAGGAAATACCGTCCCAAGATATTTCAATTACAATTTGATACAGAATTCATGACGATACTGACCTTATATAAAAGCAATTTATTTTGCCGCCAACCGCGACACTTAAAGGTAACTGATATGGAAATTAGAACTGTTTTTATTTAAATTGAATTTTAGTACCATATATATTTTTTCTAACGCGATCATATCCTCATTGATTTTCTTCGTCGCGGGAACGACGAGGGGGGAGTGCCAGACTCTAACCGGCAAAAAACCAATGCGGTGTTCCTCCTCTGCTCGTGACCGTGACCCGGGTCGCCCTTGCGGATTCACCGCACCCGGCAGGCCTCGACCCACCGCGGTATTTGCAGCAGGTCCCACCACGTTAGCGGCAGAAATGCCCCTGTATCTGTATTTCCTTTCTGGAACCAAATAGATAAAAGAATAGAAATAGAAAAAAAGAAGGTCTACTTTCAAGTACATAATATTCGAAGTGGTACCCATAAGAGATCGGATCGAATAATCGTCAATTTTAATTCATACAGACCTTTCAATGTTTGCACTTACAAAAGCACTATAGTATTGTTCCAGTTATCTACGTATTTTCCCAAAACATTACACTTTAGCATATTTTTTTTATTTTGCAATTTAATCAAAATATCGCATAATAAGGAAGATATTGGATGGTGACGCTTTAACCCTGAAGGTCGGCTCGGAAAGGTACATTACATAGCGATGGCCGATCTCGATTCTATGATGCACGTAAGATTATTAATATTATGCGATGTATTCCATTGAGAACCATCTCATTTACATTAGTAAGTGCCACAAATTAGAACAGTGGCCTTACTATCTAATCACAGTGATTAGGCTATAAACTTATGTACCCACTAGGTATATTAATTGCGCGCATCCACAGCAATAACTTGAATTACTTCTGAGTATCGTACGTACTATTACACACTAAAGTCATAAGATGAATTTAAATTAGAAACTGCATTAAAAAAAACAATTTATTCGGATGACCCATATTTGTTTCTCATTGACACAAATTTATATTTAAATGTCATTAATTTTATGCATAGTTATTTAGATATTAATTAGTTAATAATATGAAAAGAACAAATATTTAGATACGAAATTGATGCGAAGACGTCCTATCCAAAATATATTCGTCAACAATTTGGTCATCTGCGTGCAAAAATCATTAATGTGTATGTATTTTATTTACTTTAAAGTAACTATAATGTAGGGAAAATAGTATATTAAAATTTTAGTGAGACATTCTAAATTAATTATTATCTTTTCAGCTATTTTCAATAATAGTTACCATACTACTTTAATTATTATGTTTTCGGCTTACTCAAATAACTGCTTGACGAGGA